GAAGGCACGGGCCGTTGAAGGACTGGGCCCATTGGGAGATTGGAGAAAAGAGGCTAATTAAATGTCAAATGAGACCGAACAAGAGAAAAACCGGTGAACCAGGACTGTCGCGACGGCGGCGGCAGCGCCGTAGCTGATTGCGTAGAAATGGACCGGTTCCGTTCTTGGACATCTCGCTTGTTGTGCGCATGTCGTTCACTTCGGAGCTCACTGAGCTACCAGCTTCGATCTCGGTCGAAGCCGACTGATGTGGCTGCTGCCGCCGCCGCTAGTTCAGTGGTAGGTCTCAGTGGGACGCGATTTGATTACAAATGGCTCTCTTGAGGAGGAACTTCTTCGCGAAGGGAGCTCTATTGAGGAGTAACGGTTGATACGAACAAGTGGCTGGTGGAAGTTGGGTTATGAAAAGGAAAGGAAAGAGGAAAGAACTTCGCAAAAAAATAAGAGGAAAAAGTTGGGGATAACGAACCGGGAACAACTGGCAATTTGAAATAGCAGGCCTTCCGCAACAGCAGCAAGAGTTTGAAGGGTCGGAAACCACTGAGATGGCAGGCGTCCCGCAACAGCAACAAGAGTTTGAAGGGTCGAAAGTCACGGGGACGGCGTGGGGGAAGGCGATCTTCTAGGTTTTCCTTTTTCTTTCATTTTCTCTTAGTAATGACGTCGACGCCAAACCAATCAGCTTGCTCAGCCGATGTACCTACTGCATCGAACGCCCGCGTAACGAAGCATCGATACTGTAGTCACGTGCTATTCAGCGTACGCTGTAGCTGAAAATGTATTAGACTTAATCCACGGCGTTAGTTATTGATTTACATCGTTTAGATACCTAATTGCTCATGATCGTGATGTTAGGAAAAAAAGAGATGGCATATAACGCATATACTAGCGTTGCTTGAAAGTCGAAATCGCAACTTCTATAATTAATCGATGATATGATTATTACTATTATTCTCAGTTAATGATATATAATTAAACCGACTCAAATGGTAAATTTTATTGCAAAGCTACTCGGAACTTCATATCAGAGTAGGTCAGTACACCGAGCCTCAGGAATAGCACTTAGCTGGACGCTTGTGCTTCACCGTATGCAACACTTATTTAGCTTTTGTCCAATCATAACGTTTCATAATTAGACGTGAAGGTGCAGCTTAAGGTGTGATTTGTCATCATTTACTGTGTTATTTGTTGCGTCTTGCCACATCTGTGCTTACACTATAAGCATACGTTATTCGTGACTATCGGCACTCCATCCTATGGAATGTACTAGCGAAAATTTACATAGTTAATCAGATCACATCGTAGTCGGTTTTGTCCGCTCTAATAAATGGCACTTAAACGGAAGCGTTCCTTCTTCTTAGAGTTTCCACTGCTTTTGGGGCAGGTCTGTCGTGTGCGTACGTGACGGCTCGTTCTTCTACTTTGTCTTCTGCTCAAGGCTCAGTCCCTGTGCCTCTAAGCAATGTCCGGGGTGATGTTGGGCGTGTCCTTTTTAATAAGGATCCAGAGCGGCAGCGCCAAGCTAAACTAAATAAACGAAACCTAGTATCCGCTACGCTAATAGTAACTGTCGTTATCTGTTTCTTAATTAAAGCAATGCCACTCGTAGTTTGGTTCTTACTCAAAACGAAGACGTTTCAAACAGACTAGACCCTGCCTGAGCAGGATTCGTCGCCTGCCTTGGTGTCCCACTTCAACAGTCCTGAAGCCAATGGAACGACTACCGGATGCCTCTGTATGGGTTTCCCTCTTCTCAGCTTGAATGGGGTTTGTTCAAGTACTCGAATAAAAAACAACGTACCACTAAGGCTCTAAGAAAAAGCGCCTTCTGCATTCTGAGCCAGTAGCTCTTGGCTGCAGACTATTAACAAGCTTTCTTTCTATAAGCCTCTAAAGAGAAGTGGTTCTGGAGTTACAGTCTACTGCTTTTCCCGACGCAGAGGTTTTTTTGACATCTCTAAGACCCTTGTTCATCTTCTACTTAAGCTGTGGTGCCAGTGTATTATACATTATAAAGCGCAAGAAATTACTGACCTTCTATACATTCTGGCTGACAAATGATATATTTCCACTTTAACGTTACTTCGTAGTCGGCCTTTCTATAATCAGCCTGAAAACTAAAACGCTTTGCTTCTTTGTTGAAAAGTTCAAAAAAGATAATGTTTTGCTTCTTTGAATAGAAGGTCTCGTGCGAACAAGTCTATTATATGCAACCGATTCCACCTAATGAGAGTGCAATTTGTATGATTACAACGTCAACAGGTCGTTCTGGACAGTAAGTAAACTCTATTCATTGTTGATAGTGGTGTTGCAGTGCGTTTCACAGTGGCGCTATTAAGTCTTTACTTACACGCATGTGATCAGATATCGTCAGCAGCATCTATATTCTGTCGTTGCAACGACGAATAAAGGAAGATCTTTAAGGTTATGCACCGACACTAATTAGCCCTAGACGATGCCTTTTAACATCTCGACACCGCATTGTCCTATTTGAAGTCTCTAGGCTATGCGTTGACAGCCAATGTCGTCTCTTTCTTACGTCCTTCGTAAGATTCACCAGCCGCTAACCCAGAGTTTGCACGCGAGCTAGGACGAGCTGAGGACAGCTAGTCCTTCATCTTTTTCGCGAAACGAATCTTTCTTGAAAGTTCTCTGAACGACTTGAAAGGCGGGCGTCTTTTTCCTCTTAATGCTTAGTTTCCTCTTCACTGTTCTTCTGATTTAGCCCCATCTTTTTTTCTGCCTCCTTTATGTCCTGTCCTCCTGTGTAAGTTGGCGTGCTTTTTCCCGCGCACGCGCACATCCATCCAGTCAGAACATAAGGAAAAGAAAGGGGAATGCTTTTTATTCCTGCAGCAGAGATACCCAAAGTCCCAGTTCCGCGATTGGCCACAAGATGAGTCGTCGTCCAGCGCGCGATTGCCCAAAAGAGGATATCCTTTCTGCGGCTCTTCCCGCTTATCAGCCGCCCACCGACTTCATCCCACTTCAGGCGCCGATCCGCTCGTCGCTGACGAGGATTTTCGTCGTTTAATAGTTCGAAGCCTCACTTATTCACAATGGCCCAGAGGCGCGGTAGGGCAGTGGCAACGACAACAACAGCCTTACTAGTTTGTGGTTCTTACCCGCCGCCTACGTCGGTAGCCCCACAGACCCATCTGAGGAACCCGTTGGCGCTTAGCACACTTGAGCAGACGACTGAACCGCTCGGACGACAACCAAGAGGAAAAAGGAAAATAGAGAAGAGGCGGAAAAGGATCAAAATGACCGCATCACCGACACTGGATGGGCTGCCAACTGAACTTGATTGGACTGAGAACAAAGGAAACATCGGGACGACCGAAAAAAGAAGCCAGTGAAAACGGTACGCCCGTTTATGCAGCCTGCGGTTAAGACACCAGGAGCATTAACTGCACGCTCGCCGGACATTGTTGCTGCAAAAATAATAAAGCAAATCATTTGATTAGGATCTTGTGTACGTGCGTGCGTCCCTGAACATCAATTATGTATTAGCCTTGAAAGGGTTCGGGTCAACTGTATGTACGTTATTTTAGATTTAGCTAGGCATAAAATGCCATTTGTTGCTTAGGAACATTTTTCTTAAATGTTTTTTAAACAACATAGGGTAAGATAAAATTCTTTAGATTGAAATACACTTAGACGATTTCTTTTATATAATAGTGCGTCAAATAATCTGTGTAGGTAGCAGGTTGAAACGTCTCTATGAAAGTTTTCAGGTAATCGAACAAATCCGTTACTGTCCTCATTTTGTACTGCTGGCTTGGCCTGTTAACCGGCAGAAGTGCTGTTTCAAGTCACGGGTTGTGTTTTTTTTGTGTACGCATGTGTAAAGTTTATATTGATTACATTGGTTGTGTATCGCATGGGCCCGTTGCCGGTTACTATTAACGACGAAAGATATGCCTTTTTTCAAGCGAAAACGCATTTATGTGCGTACGTGTGTGTGTGTATGTATGTGTATGTATGTATGTACGTATGTACACGTATCTCGTGGTATTCATAGTAGCATTTCGAAATTACAACGCTATCTCTTTTTTTTACAATCATCCATTTCGAGCCATAAGTAGAAGAGTAAAATGGTCTTATGTATTTTATAGAGCGGCAACGTTGTTAATTATATTCGTCACGAAAATGCAAAGTTGTCTATGGCGGCAGCAGTAGCGGCGCCAGCCTTCGTCACGCTGCAGACAATTTGCCCCGCTTCGCTCCAGTGGGCTCTTATGCATCGTGACAAATGGCCACGGCAGTGCCCGACGATAGTAAGTGACGTAAAAACGTACGTTGGGATGGTCGTTAACATGCCACACCAATATCGGTCAGGTTACAACAGCGATACGCTAAAGATCAATTTCAAACTGTTGACTGCCTGGCGGCTTTATGCCGTCCTTTAATCATCGGGACAATTAAAAGAGTGAACTAGTTCTGCATACGTAGAGCAGAGCCTTCCGTTTCATGTATGAAAATAGGGCTCTAGTCAATCTTACTCTCGATAATGAGAGAAAATAGATAATCGGCCAAACACACACACACACAATGAACACCTCTTAGATAAAATAGTATATAGAAAAATAGGTGAAAATAAAGAGTGGCTGCTACAGCGCTTTTTTTAATTTACCCGAAATACTTGGATCATGATATAAAGTGGTACGAGATTCTTCTGTTAACGAGAGAGTTCGATACTGCCGTCAGCTGACTTGTTTTACGTTGCTAGTTAGACCTATACCTGGCCCTGAGATCAGGCCACGATAGCTTTTGTGCCAGGAAGTATATATAGAGTGAATTCGATTAAGTGGCGTCCGTATTAAACGTAATGTTGCGGTTTAATATAAACAGCTTCTTTTTTTTTTTTATATCTGCTCGATAGGCTTGATGAAAGACTGCGTTAGAAAGCGACTATTAGAATTAGTCCTCATTAAGAAAGATAAGGTATTATTACTAAGGTTAATAGCTACTTTTCTGATAACTGTACTATTTCATAGATAAATTGGAGAAAACCCCCCGGGAAAATTGAGCAAGATCTACTACGGTTAAATTCTTGACATGGCTAAGCCTTTGATGCTATACCCAGAAATAGGTGAGTTCGAGGCTTTGTTCACATAATACAAATAGGTATAAATGTCAATAACTAAATGCTTATAAATAGAAAAAACGTCGGCCTAAATTGAACCACTTAATTGTAAACCTCTGCAGACGATACTGCTGGAATTGGCAAAGTGAAGACTCGATAACATAAGTTGTCGTGAAAATAGTACACTATTATAGAACTGTGATAGGTGTATTTATAGATTTTGGAGTAGTTTGAATTATGTGTCGACCAGAATGAAAGAGCGCTTCAATCCTGCGCAAATCGTTCAGACTACGTACCTGGAACGCGGTTGGGAACCGCAACCCCTGTTGTTGCGTCTAAAACGTTCATGATAATGAGTCATTACAATTACTTTTAGTTTGAAGTTATACTAGTAATTCTACTTGATTTCAATAAGTTTTTACAACACGTATTCTTCATGGTGATTCGCGCATATAATAGAATTACGTAGACGGTTTTTTTTATCATGAAAATTAAAGTGTTAAAAAAAGCGGGTGAATACGTCAGACCGACACCGAGCAAAGGTGTTAGTATCTTAACTTTGACTATATTCTGAAATAGTTATTAAGTTAGTCCGCTTGTCACACTATTAATAAGAACACCAAATTGTAACGATCTCCTATGCCATGTCTATATGCTATATTTACGAGCGTGATTTAAACAGTTTCAAAATATACGTCCAGTATCTCCAATTTTGCAACGTAGCTAGGTAATATCAAGCGTATGTTGGCAACGAACGAAGTGAATATTGTCGTTCTAATCAGTACGTTTTCCCTCCCATTAGGATTTCTTAAAAAGTCAATCATGAAGTATAATTGGTAAAGGATGCCAGAAAAGAGGTTAACGTATACCCGAGAAGCTTCGTAAATATCTCCGAAAATCGTAACCATGCAATCGATACGGACGTACCCTTTATTTGTAAAAACGTTGCTGTCAAAGACGTTTATTTAATTAGTAAACTATGATTTTCTATTAGGAATTACGTGCCAACTGTAATGATTGCTATGTTCCACCGCTAAGTACACGGCTGATTTTTTTTTTTTTTTTTTTTTACTAAGATAAAGACAGCCGTTCATTGGTGAAAATTAGTTTGAGTACATGGCTGGGGAAACAGAGGGGAGTATGATATGCAGAACTCAATTCATTTTGAGCAAATCAATGCAGGCCCCATGATTGAATATACTATGTCGTGCCCAGGGGAAAACCGATATTTTGGGGCGCTAACTGCTGTTCTCATAGCTGTATTCTTATAAGCAGTACGTATATCCAAAGAACAGATAGGTGAAGCAAACGCAGTTGAATCTCGTAAGACAAACGCAAGTCACAAAAGTGGATAAAAACGAAGCAGTGTGAAGTGCAAGCTTGCTCTCTGCAATTTGTTTCAATGTTTCCGTAGTGCTTGCGGTTGATGGATGTTTCCGCAACTACTATTCACCCATCCATATAGCTTGACACTGGAATGAATGACCTTGTTTCCCTTTCGATACTAAGGCTGCGTATCATAAGTCTGCGGAAACCGAGAATCATCAAAGCAGCCTTTGTTCCTTTGCCCCTACATTGCCTTTATACACCTTATCTATGGCCTTTGTTTGTTACACGTCATAGAAACAAACCATCTAGCGGTGACGTTTGCACTCGAAAATCACACAAATCACGGTGTTCAACGGCCGTCGAGGCGTCGCTACTACTGTCAGTTGTTGCTTGACGTAGACGGCCCCGGCTCGGTTTGTCTTTCTAAATATGACTTAATCGTAGATCAGCTTGCGTTTTCCCTCTAGATTCTTGTTACACCCCCCTTCCGCCTCCCCCTAGATTCGGATCATTTGCCTCGTCGTGCGTCGGTCCGCTTCTTTCCTTTGTGACTTTATCGCACCCTATGTATCTCAATACACATTATCCAATATAAGTGGAACCGTGTTAGATCCACTCGTTTCTTCAACATCCTTCGCTTTCACCGATCTGCGGCTTGTTCCGCCATGTTTCTCCCTTCGGTGTAGCCATCAACGTCATAAAAATAAGGCACAAAGCCGGCCCCTTCGGCTGCCGTTCGTCACTAATTCCAGGCTCCTGCAAGGCCTGAAAAGCCTTCCGTTGCTCAACGCTTTTATCCGAGTCGGCCTGGTATCTATCGGTCGTCACCACCACAGCCTACGTAGAGGCCTGAGAGTCGAGCCTATCTTTACTGCGCGCTGTTTCTGTCGACAGCAAAACAAAAAACTGGTTCAAGTGCTCGTCGACAACAGTGACATAGCTAGCAACGACACCATTGGCATTGAGACTGGCGGTACAGCGAGCAGTAGGATCGAAACAAGGCTGCTGTCTAAAAAAAAAGCCGTGTTGAAAATTGCTGACAAATCTCAAGTTGCTGTTAACAATGGAATCGTGCAAAGGTTATGTCGTGCTACGTTTTTGGGGTTATATTTAGGTGAGCCGTGATCGGCACACATAATTCAGAGCCCCCCGACCTTAACGTCCGGTTGGCTTTATTCTCGTCCGGTTTCATTTGAATTGTACGTGAGCGTCTCGACCAGTCAACCAACCGTATGCGGAACAAAGAGTAGCCTGTAAGAGGTCTGAACAAAGATGTCGTGCTCGAGTCCAGCACAAAAAGCGTCGTCCTGTCAAGCTGTGCCAAGGTTTTTTGTTAGTGCGCTACTTGGAATAGGTTTCACTGCCTGCCGTATGTGTAGAAACTCTTTTAGTTGACTAGGCAGACAAGCCATAGCAGACAACCAACGAGTACTTCGGACAGATGTAGTAATGTGCATGTTGCACTAGAGCTAATGGGCAACAGCTGTTTGCCCTCAACGGTTGATGCCATCACACGGTGTCGGCGCTACCTCTGCTCGCCAACTCTGATAAATGTATCGAAGCGCTTTGTTTCTGTTTTTGTGCCAATGTAAGCGCTGGCTGGCGAACAAATTTTGATATTTATGACATAGTTAGATGGCGCCGTTTGTTGACGGTATCCATGGGACGAGAACTAATAAACCGAACGTGTACGTACGAACGCAGCGGAAGGCATGACTTTCTCAGTAACTACATCTTGCAGGACATAATGAGTACGAAGCGTTCAATATAGTAATATACAAAAAGATGTTTCGTGATGGAAGGACTAACGCTCTAAATAACTTCTGGCTATTATTCGATGCTATGGGAACTTCTTGTAGGTCGTGTTCTATATCGAAGAACGAAGTATTGCCTACAAGAGTACGCGGAGCGCATCTACATAAGTTAAAAAATAACTAAGCCTTAGAGAAACCTATGTACATATAAGAGCTGGTGATAATTAGCTGGTGTCTTCTAGCACAAGTGAACTTTGGCCGGCAGCACTGGCGTTTTATAGGCAAAAGAAAGCAATGAATGATGTTTTCTTCCGATGGCGCTCCTATCGTTTACGAAATTGCTTTCCTCACCCGACAGAGACGGTCCTTCATACGACAGGCAATCATGAACCCTTGATGCCGATGAAACTATTCCTCCATTATTGACAGGGGGCAACGGCAACGTCCGCGGATTTCCGGCTTTGGAAATTCGGGCGCGCTTTGGGTTTGGCATAAACGCCATATCTATTTTCAAAAATACTGTGATTGGGTAGAGCCGCTAGTTAACTCTAAAATGAGCGACTTTTGTTCACTCTGATAATTTTGACAAAATTTCCTGTTATATATAAGGTTATCCTGTGGATCACTGTTACTGTTTAGCTGCTTAAACGCTATCCCGTTATGGGGCGCCAACTAGGAACTACAACGATGCAGATAACTAACTACAGCTCTAGCTTTATTATTGTGCTGCTTAAGGGAAACCTATAAGGACGGCTGTTTTATGAGGTTCAGACAGGTGTTTTCTTGCTATTCGCCTAGGTCATTCAACAATTGAACAACTCCTTCTTACAGGTTTTTCGTCTTTGGTAACGTCTCTTGGTCTAGAACTGGATCCGGTGGAGCGGTAAGCAGCCATGTTTCCGCTTTTTTTGTCTAGGCTTTTGATGGGCGTTGTTCGTAAGTGTGCAGAGTTAGCATGGAATTGGTAACAGCAACGTGGTGTGGGCTTTTGAAAGGTGTAGGTTTTGGACAGTACAGGGCTTTTGAAAACTGAAAAACCCATGTTCGCCACCGAGTGCGAACCTAATTTGCTACTTAAGCCAAACAAATAGTTCAAGTATAGAAGCAGACGCAGGCAGACATGCGCGGAAAAGGGGAAAAAACTTCAAATCATTTCTAAAACGTTCGCGCTAGCTAGCTAGCTAGCCGGTAGAGCGAAAGGCGAAAAGACGACGCATCTACCGGCTGTTAAGACAGCTGTTGAAAAATGGTAAAAATCGTTAAAATTAAACAATTTTCGCACCCACCATGCGCGAGTACTACTTAGTTGGCAAATGACTTAGCCGTCATACGTAATCACTAAAAGATAACTTCACTTTATTTGTTTGAGAAAAAAAATTAGCTAGATTTGTCATCATTACAATTATTGATATTGTCTTTGTCGATATCATCGACCGTTCGTTCGACCGCCGGTGTGGTACGACCTCAGAGACCTTACGTAAACGTTCGAGATTCGATTGTGGAAACGGGTTCGTTCGCACTGATAACAAATGCTGATTGGATCATTTGGATTGTTACATAACAACGCGTCATCTGTTCAGAATGATCAGAGAAGTCAGACCAAGAATTTTGTCTATCGCGGACTTATACACCACAAAATGCCATATCGCGTTAGGCATGACTTGTCGCGTGCTTTATTTCCGAGGGTAGACAAGCTTTAATATTTCCTCTAATAGTATTTAGCGTTTTCCTTTTTCCTAAATAACCAGAAGAAGAAGAAGAAGAAGAAGAAACCAGGTTTTCAAGAATAACCAGAAAAGCCGAAGCTGATTGTTGTTTTATTAGCCAGTGCGCTTCTATCCCCAGAGGTTTTTGTGTCTGTTTCTGGTCAGTAAATAAATGGGGATAAATAAAAAAATAATAAAATAAATCGGTTATTCGCTTTATTTATATAATATCCTCTGTTTTCAGGCCGAACACGTTAATTCTAGTGGAATTAGCAATATACAGGTTCGCAAAAGACGTTTGTGCTGATAATGCAGTGTGGTTCAGAGCGGAAATGACTGACCAGTTGGTCATCAGATGGGCATCTATTGACAACAGTTAGATAGTTTAATACAGACAGGATGAATCCGTCCAGTTTTGCACGTAACACGAATGCTCCTGCATCTATGGGAATACCTGTTTCTACGTTTTGCTGTACATGCAGGGCTGAGTAGTCCGCTTCTTTCTAGAATACTCAGTTTCACAAACAGGGTCCGCAATGGCATTATCCTGCAGGCGTCTGTTCAGACGAAAGAAAATTATAATTTCCTCCCGTGCGTATGAATCTTCTTTCTATCGTCTGCGCCGCGTTCAGTGCTTCCTGTGATCAGAATGCTGCGTCGGCTTAGAAGTACTCATTCGCGGGACTTGTATTCGGTACTTCTACTCTCGAAGGTGTTAAAGAAAGTAAGACAGATTGCGGATGATAGCGCAGGTTTCGGTGAGCCAACCAGACAAGTAGTACTGTGTCCTTTTGTTGGGATTCGTCCTATCCCTATAGAAAAATGGCAAGACTCGGCAGCCCCAGCCAGGGGCTGCAACCCCTGATTTGCTAACGGGTTTTATATGCTCTTTATACAGCTAGACAATACCTACTCGCGATCATGAGTAGATGCTGTTTAGCTATTTAGCTTTTCATATTTAAGTCAATGTTTTATCTATTTAACTTATCCTGCTGCGAGAGTTCATAAAGAGCTTTGGACATATTTCCAGTAAATCACAGTAGTTGATTATTATAGCGATTTTAAAACAAGTCAACTTGTTTCATTAAAGATAACAACACAGGGATGGACTGACCGATTTAACTCAATTTTAAACCTGCCAGCATACTCAACTCCGTTCTTCAAAATCCATATTCCAAAAAAAAAAAAAACAAATCTCAGGAATAATTTGTAAAGGAAAATTATTCGGTACGCTGTCGAAATACCACTACTCTAATTGTAGGCCTTAGTTCGCCTGCTGGGAAATCCTCTTCAGCATTCTTCAACGCTGACCTTTCAGTCAGTTTATAAAATAAATTTTCCAGAAGCTCCTTAGGGTGTATAGTTCCCACAGCCTTTGTAGACGATGGTGGGTTCGCAATGATTTATCTTCCGTCGCGGTTTCCGCAATCGGCGTGACGCGGCCCCGATTCGTGAATCATATTTCTATAAGAAACTTTTAATCAATTTAAATTTAACATTGTTCACAATGTATTTGAAATATCCAACGTTAATTTGGTCTAAGAAGAACCCAAGGATAATGACGATCTCCAACGTTTGGTTACGGGCCTTCATTTTTGCAGTTAAAACGTCGCCTAACCTTATTTTGTTAATCATATAAGGATAAGTATTTGGTCAACTAATTCACCTTTACAATGTAACCGCACTTCAGTATGCTTTTTTTTTTTTAGTATTTTTTTATCTAGTTTAATACAATAGAAAAGGTAGAATTATATCCAGTGAGGCTAGTTATGAAGGTTTTGGCCAGTTTCGGCAAAGCATCGAATTCTTACATTTTGCGAAATGTTTTGTTTTTGTTAAAAGTTCCTGCAAACGATTGAATAAAACGAAAATTTCCTAAGCGGTGTTTATTTTATGCTCGTTTTTCCTGTCCGGTACAACTCTTCCAACTTTACCAGATGCGTAATACTTAATCGTTGGAAAGGCGTAAGTTATACCTACAGCTCATTCTCTATATAACACTATTTGAGTAAGTTGTAACAGGTGTAATTATTTCGAGCATAGCGTGTCAACGGAATCGACTGAAAAACAGTGCTTCATAATGTACGACTCACTTATCCTAATGCACCGTCACATTTGACCAATGTAAAGACAACGGCTTCAACTTCTAGGATATATCTGCTACTATTCAAGGGAATGTTAAAAAAAAACACATTCAGGATATACTTTGAAGTTATACCTACGGAAGCTATTCATCTCCAAATAGGTCATGCTGTTTGTCAAGAACCAAGGCTATCTCACTGCTTTGATGCCGTCGCTATATTCGATAAGGTACATAAGTCCTTTCCTTCGGGTAGTTCATAGTCTAGCCCTTTATTCCAATTTATGTTGGGATGCTATCCGCATCCTAATCCTACAGGATCTGTCAGATCGAGTTGATATAAAAAAGGCACAGGCCCTGAGCTCAAAAGCAGCGTTTTTTCACCTGTCAGATATTATTGCCTGCAAGAAACTTGCTTAGAGGATTGCCTGAGCAGCGGTTTCTGTCAGGAGCGATTTTTTTCTTTTCAAAACATCCCTTTTGGTCAACGTGGTCCCTGCTACTGACTCTGAGGCTTATGAAAAGCGAAAAATGGGGCTACAAAAACGAAGCAAGCGAGTATTTTCTTCGCCAGCTCAAAAGAGAGGTAGCGGAGGATAGAGAAAGTAAAACATCTGAAGATAGAGACAAGGTTAGAAGCAGTCACCATGCGACCTAGGAGTTGGTCTAGGAACCATCTGAAGACCTCAACACAAACAAACGAAATAACACTGAAAAGAAAGAGCCGTTGACAGCAATCATGACAGCAACGCCAGCGCTACCCGTTTCCATACCGGTCTGCTTACTTTTGCTCCCGCTGTAACGGCCAAAAGGCCCCATTGTAACTTTCGGCAAACCAACTAGCCTAGGAACGACTGAACGCTCCTATTGCGCTTGAACCTCCAATTTCAGTTCCTACTACTCCACTCGGGGTGCTTGTTTCCCCCGTTGGCAAGGAGACCTTCTTTTCGTTTGATCGCCCACTAGAGCCCCCATAATGGCGCTAGAGTGTCCCCTTCAATAACCCGTCGAGTACAATTGCCGCGATCTGTACGCACCGTCGGAGGCCGTCCTATAGCAAATAGAGCTCGGCTCGTCTACGAACAATGAAAAAGGGCAGAGAGGCGAGTTTACCTAGAAAAAAAAGAATAACCCACAAAGGAGTTCCTCAGAAAGATTGAACATCTGCTGCCACTACTATCCCGAGGACGCTCTAGTAACCAACAACCAAGAAAAAGTGGAAGCCTCATAGATGATTGCGTAAAAGAAAATAAAGTAGAAAGCATGTCAAGGAGAGAACAAAGCTTGCCGTCGTCAAGTCGAATGTGCCACCGGAACCACTTTTTTTCTCAGTTCGCCCCTCCCTGCCAAAGGAAACGACCAAAGTCTCCAGACTCAAAGCTCCTCCGCCCTCATCCGGCTTTGCTTAATAACCCCTATTTTACACCAGTTTTTTTGCCCGACCCGCAGCGGACATGTGGGTACGTCTACGCTGCGCTGTCAAAGCCAGCAACGCACGATAGACGCGCGAGCAAACCGACAGTTTAAACGGTTTACCTGCACTAACAAAGTTCTACTGTAACTCTTATTAAAGCACTACTCCGCAGAATAGTTGTCTCGTGATGGTCGAAAAATCACTGCCAATAGTTTGCCACTGACTTGGTTCTGGCACAAGTGTGACTCTGACAACCACGACTACTAGAGAATACCATTGCTCATTTCGGTACAAACGCGGCCAGCGGTATGGATACAGGAAGTGGCGACAGTAGCGGCGGGGGCCACAGCGGGCGCAATGGCGACGACATAACAAGCAGCAATAACATCAATAGCAAAAGAAAAACGACCAGGCAAAGCAGTTTCTGAAAATACCGCAGTACGTATTTACCGAGTAATCTACTTGTTCTCGTCCCTTGCCAACATCCGATGGACAATTTTGCAATCCAGCACTATCTATCTCTGCCGCATATATAGGTCTAGAGTGCCGCAGACGCTGACTATTGAAGCATGGCTACCGCTACTCTACTTCGATGGGCATGTTACAACGGAAGCAGACATTGGCTGCACGGAAGAGACAGATACATCTTTGTCGCCAAATTACTTGTCCGTATGTGCGTGAAG